ATATTTACATTTTACAAAAATGTAATATCTCACATTTTTGGCAAACGTGAGACGAGACTTTGTCCTCTTTTTGGTACTGAATTGTGAACTTTAACTGAGACAAGCAAAGGCTGCAGCTCTTTAGATGTTGTTCTGGGTTCAGTTGTGATCTACTGGATGAGTTATTGATGGGCTCTTGGCTTCATTTTGAGTTTCCAGCCACTCATGTGAAGGTTCACCACTGTTACAAGTGTTCTCCATTTGTGGATAATGGTTCTCGTTGTGGTTCACTTGAGTACCAAACACTTAGAAATGGCTTTCCCGACTGATAGATGCCAGTGATCCTGTTTCTCTTCGTTTGTTGTCATGGCGTGATTTTTGAGCTCCTGGGTGTGGCTAGTGAAACTGAACTTAATGTTCAAAAACTGTGGGGGCAGTTCACTTTTTCATATAGGTTCGGATAGCCTTTTTTCCCCTTGATAAAAAAAAATCGTCTTTTAAAAACAGAATTGTTTTTACTCCGGTTATCTTATATTAAAATTGGTTTGATGATTTGTAACATGTTAATGTGACAAATATGCAAACATTAAGAAAACAGGAAGTCGAAAAGACTTTCTCACTGCACTGCGTATCACATCCTGTTGGTTACTTCATATGGTGAAAATACTCACTTGTGGCCCAGGCGGGCCCATTTCTCCTCGCAAACCTGGCTGACCTGGCTCTCCAGGATCGCCCTGATAAGAAGGAAAGGGCAAAAACCTTTAATTCTTCCTTAACTGAATGAATTTAAAGTTGTATTGTGCTATTCTTCAAATTACCTTAATTACTCTGGTCAGTATGTTGTCTGAACCAGTCTGATTGAATAAAATGACAGTTAAATTGTTAACAAACACAGTTTCAGTTGATTGGAAACAGACATAAGGTCTTATGGAGGAATGAGGCTTTTTACAAGCTGTGCTTTAACAAGCGCCTCTGTCAAACATGGTTGAACTGATCAAGTAATTATAGAGATTTGTTTACTTGTGTTCCCGGAGGTCCAGGCTTTCCCTTTATAACGATGACAGCACAATGAAAAGAAGACAGACAAAACACAGTTAAAATCTACAACGTCATAGTTCTAAACAAATCCAATATTTGCAAGACAAAGGAAAAATAGTTTGGTGCAATGAAGGATGGCAAACACACAAAAAACAAAGTTAATTACTCAACTTATCAAAAGGGAATGACACAGGAGGATAGCAGATTGAGAAGATATGAAACAGTGACTGACACAGAAGAATAATCAGAAGGCAGACAGCCAGGAGAAAAAAAAACAAACATGTTCACTGATGGGAGAGAGGGAGGGAGAGATGGTGGATACAAACTTACCGCCTCTCCTTTGTCACCTTTTTTGCCATCGGCACCCTTCAAAACAGAAAAGAAATCTCAGGTAACGTTAAAGTTTTGCAATTTCAGTTGAATTATTACAGTTAGTTATAGTATAGAATAAAGCTACTGATCTGTACACACATACTAAGCAGAAAGATGAGGATCCTATAAGTGGATCTACATTTAATAAAGCATAGCATTAACTCAGGAAGGCCACAAAGTCAAGCCCAGATCAGCTGGTTTAGTTCACCACCTTCTACACAGTGAAGTGTTTCAGCTGCTTCAGCAGGAGCACAGTTGCTGCATACCCCCAAGCCCCTTTGCAACCCACCTTTACCGCAGCTCTTCCTTTTAATGCTGTTTCTCACTTAATGAGTAATGTAAGACAGCTTCAAACAACAATCTTCTTTTGACCACAGTTGTGCTGACTGAAGTTTAATTATCATTGCAAAGAACTTACAGGTGGGCCAGGCTTGCCAGGGTCACCTTTTTCTCCAGTGTCACCTGGTTTTCCTGGTAATCCCAATGGACCCTGATCAACAAGTAGAAAGAAATGGAAGAATTTAGCCCTTGACTCATGTTTCACAAATAAAAGTGTCAGATTTAAAGCCCGGCCAGCATTGTAACTACACATTCGGTATACTACATACTGGTTTGTCGCATTTTCAGATTTTTTCAAAATACATTTTGAAGTTACTTTCTAAATTTTGTGGGAAGTATTGTTTTTCCTTTTTTCTTATTTGAACTATACAACTGTTGAACAAATACCCTGATTCCTCTTTCACCAGGCTCTCCAGCTGGTCCTTGTTCACCCTGCAAAAACAAATTAAATGACTCTGTGGAGGTAATATGTGACGCTGGGGATGATTATAGGGATGTTAAATCCTTTTAAAAATAACAATCTTCAAAAGCAACATGTTTAAAAGTCCAAGCGCTGGTCAACAAAACAGTCACGTAACAAACAAATAGACTTTACCTTCATTCCCGGTTCTACTTTAGCTCCAGGTGCACCCTACACACAAAGTAAACAATAAATCTAAGCAGTAGGAAATATTTAGCCAAATGTGCTAACATTCATAATATACGTGTGAACAAAAGGGAGATCAAATAATTACATTTTTTCTAGTCCATTAGTTAAATTTTTCACACTGTGAGCATTTTTCTGTCACCATTGTTTCTGAATGGACCTGTTTATCAAACTAAATCTGAACTCCACTGTACCTACCATACAAACAAAACTCAAAGTTGCTGTAACGGCCACTCAGGATTTACTTACATCTTTACCTCTTAATCCCGGTTCTCCAGGATTGCCAGGTAATCCAATGCTCCCTTTTTCACCTTTAGAGCCATCTTTCCCCTGAGCAAAGACATGACCTCTGATTTAGAATGTCAGCAAAAAAAATGTATGCTTTAAAAATAAATAATTGTTTTTTTATAATTGCTTAATACAAATCTGTTGTAGAATTGTACAGCATATTAACGGCCAGCTCAAATTGGGTTTTAGTGTAAAAAAAAAAAGAAGTATTGTCTGTATTTACAAAGAGTGCAGTGGCAAGATTGCATCTAAGAGGTGGGCTGACTTTTGGAAGTGATCCTGCTCCATTTCTGGGAGTTCCTTTCTCAAATCGTAAATTATAAGTAGAAGCATATTTAAATCAGTACACAAATTGATTTGCAACACACAATTTGCTGAGAATTGCACCGATATTGAGACCATATTTAGCCCATTTTTTGTACTTGATAATGAAATTAACTGACTGTGTTTAGAAAAGGAGCACAATGTTTTTAAATCACCTGTAAAGTCACCCTATGAGTACTATTTGGGGATTGTGCTCACACGCTGTTTTGCCCTGTTTAGCAATAAGGCGTAATTCAAACGTTATTCAAGTGGTTCAATTAAGTGTTTTAAACTTTAACTGAAGTTAACATTTAGTAAACTTCTAAAACCAAAAAGAAGTTTTGGCCATAAAAAAATATTTTTATCATGCCTTGTCTGTGTTTATGTCTACCTTTAGCTCCTATGAAGTTTTGCCTAGGCATGGATTTATCTGGCAAGATTTGCCAAACACTTGTGTTAAGCATGTGGAAAAGCCAGGTGTTGTGAAGTGCTCACAAAAAAAAGATCATGGATAAACGCAACAAATCATACATAATTTCAGGTAGACCCCTACATGACACTGAATAGCCCATCAACAAAACCTCTGTTTTCACTTGTAGCAACGTACTGTGCAAATTTCCCAAATGCAGCAGACTGCATAGAATGATTGTGATTCTTTTTCTCATCTGCCTCCTATTACTGGAAATTAGTGAAAAAGTATAGAAGAAAAACTAAAATTAAGCAAAGGCGCCAAACCAAAAATACAAAATTAATGTATGTGTTTATAGTCTACGTGTTCTTGAATACTACTGCTTGTTTTCACCTTGCATGTATTATTTTGACCCATTGTTTACAGAAAAAATTATTCATGAGAAGAACTTAATGTAACCAGTGATGACTCACCTTTTGTCCTGGTTTTCCTGATAAACCAACATTTCCCTGTAAGCAATGAAACTAATAAAACATCTAACAACAACAACACACAGCAATTTCCTGCTTTATGATTCCAGGATGGCAACAGAGTTAAAGAATCAAATGACTCACCCTTTCTCCATTTTCTCCCTTTTGCCCCTGCTGTCCTGGAATCCCAAAACCAGGACTACCCTACACATATCAAAACAAACCATAAAATTATATTCAGTTATTCTATTTGCTCTAATCTTGCAATAATAAAATTGAAATGACCATGATGGACAATATCTCTCCATAACAACCTTTTCTCCCTTGTCTCCTTGTTCTCCCTTTATTCCCTGAGGGCCTGTGGAACCAACTGGACCGATGTCCCCCTGAGAGAACACATGCACATACATGAGCCCATGTACAACAATTTATAAGAGAAGGCTAAACCTCTCTCCACTCTAAATGGACCCTGTGGACTGTCATTAATTATGTGCCATCCAACAGAGCATTCAGTCTCCCTGAAAAAGCTAATGAGAGAAAAATTTTAATTGTGTTTGATAAGCAGGTCCAGGAGATTGAGTCTGCAAAAATACACCAATTAATTAACAATGTTTTCAATTACTCACCTCTGGCTGATTTATTTTAACCCACTTAAGATAAATACGTGCACACAGCTTAGTCTGGTTGAGAAGAAATTAAAAAAGGTGTTACAGCACCCATAGTTTCAGTAGCTTAAATCCTTTTACTCAATGATAAAACCTTTACCTGGAACTAATAGTAATTTCCTTATTTTAATCTTAAATGCCTTAACTGCAGACGAGCAGCTCGTACCAACAGAAAAAGTTGTTATAATTGCACTTTACACAGAGTTTGCAAAGTCTCTTTGTACGCAGCTGAAAAAGAACAAAATTAAATCATCCAGGTTTCACAGCTGACTGCAACTACCACAGCATGACTTCTATATTAGGTTCTTATCTGTTATTATCTCACAGGTTTGAAACACGTGGTTAGCAACTAGTACAGGGGTAGGCAATCTCAGTCCACGAGGGCCGGTGTCCCTGCAGGTTTTAGATGTGTCCTCGAACCAACACAGCTGATTTAAATGGCTAAATTAGCTCCTCAACATGTCCTGAAGTTCTCCAGAGGCCTGGTAACAAACTAATCATGTGATTCTGGTGTGTTGACCCAAGGTGAGATCTAAAACCTGCAGGGACACCGGCCCTCGTGGACTGAGATTGCCCACCCCTGAACTAGTATGATTACTTCATTGTTTCCCATAAAAGAAAAACAACCCTGGAATAGGTGACGGGTACATCAAAAATCACAACCATTACTAACTAGTAAGCATAGATCTAATTAAAAGAAAGCTAATCTATATCACAGCCTCCCTATTGCTGATCTGTATCTGTTAAACTGACAGAGGGACAAATGAAAGTTTATAGAGGTTATGCTCACAAAAAGGGATCCTGTACCACTGTCCAGAATTTATTAGCTCAAACTCAAAATTCTAAATCTATAAAGGATTGCTAAAATCCTGCTAGCCAGCTAACCCCTGGACTGTCCAAAAATGTCTCAGGAAGGAACGAGTATTTCAAATCAAGCAGACAAAAACTGTCTGATTTTACTAAAAGTAAGATGCTGAGTGTAGGTAATGAATTAACCCTCAAAATGTTGGCGTCTGCTCCTTGATGACTGTAGTTCCACCAACATGTAACTTTTTCTTTAAGTGTAATGAGACGCAGGGTTCATCCAATTACCAGCCAGGTGCCTGCCTGAATGTGAAACATGTATAAGAAGATGGCAAAAATGCAGGCTGAGATGGAATTATACAGGTAGCTAGCTGCACCGACTGCTGGTGACATGCTTTTTCTCTTTTGTGTGCTCTATATCCCACAGCTTTTGATCAGGTAGGCTGAAGTTAGCATATGGTAGATGGTGAGAAAGACACTATTTTCCCTTTTCAGATGTCAGCCAGTCAAACTGTAATAGGAATCGCCTGGAAAGGCTGGTTAGTAACACTATGGGGGGATCTCATATGATAAAGGTGTAGATTATGGATGCTGTGACTTTAAAAGCACCTTTCTTAACTTTTCCTTATTTAATTAAGAATATATAGTGCCCGATGATTGACTTGAGAACTATCCAGACCATACACTTGATGTCCTATGACAGCTGGAATATCCACCACCTATTACATTTGACATATTTGAAGTCTGTAATTAAGCTGAAAACAATGTTTTGGAAGAATGTTGATGTAGTATACACTGATTGGAAAAATCAGTGGTGAAAATAGAAACAGATCAGCAAAAGTTCTGGAAAAAGCTCACACACTGGTAACTTACCCTGGCCCCCTTTTTCCCAGCTGGACCAATTACCTGTTGTGACAGGGAAAAGACAGTTTAATAGCAAAGCCTCTATAAACTAGGTTGAAATATATGAAATAGTTTTCTTACACCCTTTGCCGGGTCTCCAGCAGGTCCTCTTGGACCTTCATCTCCCTTTAATCCCATCGGTCCTACCGGCCCCTAGAAATGTGAAGGTGAACTGTCAGTGCCACTTCCGTTGTGACCGTTAACTCCAAGCCTCTCTGATAAAAGCTGTTTATTTTTGTTCCCAACAAATCAAAACCAATTTCTTCTTTTTATTATAAAAACTAATCTTGTTGAATGACTACAAAGCGTATTACAAAACACAGGAAGATGGCCCTCATGATGACACTTTTTCCGGTAGCAATCTCTTCCAAAAGATTATGCTGCTTCAAATTAAAAATCACTGAAGCAGGAAAAAACGACCCATTTGCAAAACATACCCACTGAGGTTTGACAATTTGGCTCGTGGATGTATGCAATCATAACCATCTCTGATAGAGTGTAATCTTCCAAACCCAGAACAAAATGACTTCCTCATTTGTTCATTTATCAATCTAAATGTCTGCTTGGAGACATTAGCAAAAGTTATTAATAGGTTTAAAGCTAGTCTTTCAGTTTTTCAGAGCTGGTGCAAAATAAAAACACTGCATTTGCCCCTTCCTTGTTTTTTATATTTCTTTATAGCTTTTGATAAATTCTTTTAACACTGAATTTATCTGTTCCAATTTATTTCGATCTTCTCTAATCTCCACATGGTCGAAGGTATACATACAGGTTCAAATATATGCATATTCTAATATACTGATATTTGGTTAAATGTGTCTCAGCAAGTTGCTGTTTGACGGGATGCTTTAGGTAGCCATCGACAACTGATCGCAAATCCCGCCAGGATAATTTTGGCTGGGGTCCTCTTGGCAGAATTTGTAGGATTCATTTCAACTGGTTGGTTTTCTGGCATTTCTTGACTAAGCATAGTCTACAAATTTTCAAAAGGGTTGAGGTCGGGACTTTGGAAAGGCCATTACAGTGTTTGTGTTTGGAGACAGTCCTTTATTATTCCATTACTTGTGCAATATACCAGCACCACTGGCAACAAAACAACCCCAGAGCATGATGCTGCTACCACCATACTTGAAAGTTGGTGCAGTGTTCTTAGGTTTGAAAGTCTCATCCATACTCCTCCAAAAGTAGTAGCAGGATAATTCAGTCTTTGTCTGACAATAAAGATTTTCTCTTTTCTTTGAAAGCTCTTAAAACTTTTAAACTTTTAGATCTCTGACACAAACTATATATGTGTCTGCCCAACTTATCACTTCATAGATCATCTCATCGAGGTCTCTTAATTGTTCCATGGTCTTACCTTAAAACAAGAGCCAATCACGCTAATGAGGTTTCAGAAAAGCCTTTCTTAGCTTTCTATAAGTTAGCTTTCCACAATTATTATGGGCCACAGTTTATATTTTTTGTGTGTATGAAAGTGTGTCTGTTGAAATGAATGTGTCACTATGTGTCTATATGTTGAACTGTATTTATTTATCTTTAAACTGTGACTGTGTTTTGAAAAGCGTTGTATAATTAAACTTTTATTATTATTATTATTATCATTATTACTAATAAATCTTATGCCACATTGTATAAGATGCAATCCTCACTCACTGGGGGTCCTTGTGGTCCTATTGGTCCCACCTCTCCTTGGTCTCCCTAAAGAAGAAAGAAAATGTTAACGCACACTTTTTTTGTAAGCAGCCTTATTCTTGTCAATCTAAAATGAATCTTCACATTCACATGCATGATAATTGAAAAGCAGAAAGAATTTATATGTGAATGAACTCACCTTGTCTCCTGGCTCCCCTTTCATTCCCTTTTTCCCCTGCAGGTATAAATAAATCACTTGCTTTAAATTCATTCATCAATGATTGTTATGCAGTCTTCACTTTTATCTGTGATAAATTTGCTTCATTTTATTAGAAGGAAGTGCAATTCATTTATATGCATTTAAGTATAAAACATGCAGGGTAGTCATATGTGACTATTCAGTTGGTGATAAAGTGCACACCCGAGGTCCAATGATTCCCTGGATGCCCTGCTCTCCACGCTCACCCTTAAAAGACAAAGTGAAGAAACATGTGAACCCACAATAAAGTTTTAACAATAAGGGGGGTTTAGATTACTTTAGGATATTAGCAAAAATCTGAGTTTAAAAATGTATATTTTGGTACCTTTGGGCCAACTGGTCCTGCTAATCCAATATCTCCCTGCATGACAAAAGTAAAACAAACACACAAATAATCCAGTCTTTAATGCAGTGCAGACTATTCTCCAAAGTCAAGCTGATGACTAAACTCTGTGTCCTTCATGTCTGCTGTAAGGTACCTTCTCTCCTTTCTCTCCATGAGGACCTTGAACACCTTGTATGCCAACTCCCTCCTCACCCTGCAAGAAAAAATAAATATTACAAACAATAAAGTATTTTTAGTAATTATGCACTTAGGGTCTTTATAAGGACAAAAGCTGTAATTCAAAATTACCTTTTCTCCTTTCTGGCCTGGCAGTCCTGGTCCCCCATCAACACCAATGGGACCAGGCAAACCTGCAATGCCCTGCAGCAGTTTGCACATGTGTCAGTTTGCGAGGTGAGAGACAAAGCGGGCACAGAAACGTCTCAAATTCTGTTTTATTTTTTTCTTAACTAAGCTGTCCGAACACTATAATTTTATCAGCTATGTGCTTACATCTTTCCCCGGCTCTCCTTTGTCTCCTTTCACGCCCTGCTTCCCACGTAAGCCCTTTCAAAAATAAATGAAATATTATAAGATATGCAAACACAACAAGACATATTATATAACAAAATAACCGAGCGGTTTGAAAATAGGCTGATATACAACATTTATGAAAGTAAATTAAAAGTAGGGATTCTTTTTTTTTCTTTTTTTTGAGCAAATGTATAAAACGACAAGAAGACAGCCTTCATACTTACTTTTGTACCCGGCTCTCCGGGATCTCCCTGCGAAGTGCAAACAGTAGAAGGAGCTTTGTAGGACTGTGCTGTCAAAACATCTTTGTGACTCTTCATACTAAATACTCCAAGCTGTCTTGACATTATATGATGTGCAGTGACAGGCATTATAAAACATCATGAATTAAAAAAAGGTGGGGTGTAATTACAATGCCCTTTTTTTTCTCTGCTTCCCTTGAATTTACGTTACCTTGACAGCTATTCCTGGTGGCCCCGGTGATCCTGGCTGACCAGGCAGACCTGGAGCTCCATTGACCCCTGGAAGACCGGGAGGTCCTGGGGGACCCTGTAACATGCAGTTAAAAGTATCTTAAAATGCCTTAAAGATTACCTTTCAAAAACTACTTGTTTATTTGTTTGTTTTTTGGGGTAATCTTTTTTTTTTTGCCTTCTCAAAAACTCACTGAGGAGCCTGGCTCTCCTTTTCGTCCGGGCACAAAATTTGCATCCGTACCAGCTATGACGTATCCCGGCTCTCCCTGAGAGGAAGGCAAAAAAAAAGACTCTGTTCATTGTTGTTGCAGCATACAAATCTTAAAAGTACATAAACAGCTGTCTCATAAATAGAAAGCAAAATGAAATGCATGGATTAGACTTACTCTTTCTCCTCTCTGTCCCTTTGGACCAGGGAGCCCAGGTGGACCCTACCATGAAAAGACTGTTTCAAAAATCCTTTGCAGTCTCCAAAGAATATAGATGGCACAATTCATCAATCTATATATTTTTTTACAGATATTTTGTTCTCACCATGTCACCTGGAACACCTGTAGTGCCCTGGAAATTTAAAAAGTAATCATATTTTCAGGTTCAGATCAGATCAGTGTGACATTCTGTTCTTTATGGATATACAAGCGTGAGAAAAGGAACGTTGTTGTAGCACTATATGCAGACCTAGGATGCACTGCACCACAAATTAAACACAGCATATCAACACAAACACCTCATGCCAACTGTCAAGCACGTTGGTGGAGGGGGGATAACTTTGCTCCTTAAGTAGATCAAATGTGAGGCCAACAGACAAAGCTTGGCCCAAACTGTGTCATGCAAAACGACAATAATCTCAAGGAAACACGTAAATGTACAGCCGCATGGCTGAACAAGGAAATAATCAAGGTGCTGCAATGGTCCTTTCGAAGTTCAGACCACAACTTGACTGAAATGCTTGGACCTCAAGAGAGCTGTGCATACACTCTATGCACAGGACTGCTTATACTGCTGTAAAATCATTTTCATATGACTTTAGGTACCCGCTGGCCAGCAGAACCCGGTGGTCCAGTTCTTCCTGGGCGACCTGGCAAACCAGGAACACCGTCAGTTCCAGGAAGTCCCTGTCAAATTAAGACATTACGGTCAGTCCTGAAAGTTAAATAACAAATTGCAGAGGCACACAGATACTACTGCACTGTTAGTGGTTTCGATACAGCATTTAAACATAACACTAATTGTATATACTGAATTCAAAGAGGACAGTACACGGGAACTAATTTAATGCAAATGGTTTAAAAGATGAGGTCTTGAACTCTTACTTTCACATACTTTTGAAGCTGAAATGCTCTACAAACATCTTAATTCATGTTTTTGTTTACATGCAACTCTTGTTGCTATAACTATTTTGCTTTTTGTCACTAATACTGCATGTGCTAGTATAAGGTAATAAAGGGTAGATGTCGAAGACAACAAATAATAACTAAGGCATTTATGTGTAATGTGCACAAACAACCTTATTTTTATTTATGTACATATATTCATGCACATACAATTAACATATGCTGTATGTGCTGATGCTTACCCTTTCTCCTTTTTCTCCTTTTGAAGATGTGAAAGGATCAAACTCTCCAGGGCTTTGTCTGAATCTCTACAACAACATTAATGATTGTTATTTTTTAAAGGTGATGATAAGTAAAAAAGTGTATCTGAATATACAAGGCAGAAGCGGGGGCAGTGAAAAACCGAATAGAAGGGAGAATAAAGTTTAAGCGTATTATTTAAAAGGCGCTATAAAGTAAGGACAAACATACCAGACCAAGACCCAAACTTTCTCCCTGAAAGAATAAAAGATTATCAAAAAATAAAGAAATAAGTCTATGAAATGTTACAGGAAAAAAGGCATCAGTTTCGTCTGAGTCAAATAACTCACCTTTTCCCCTTTTTGGCCCTGAGAAAACAGAAAATTCACATGATTAATCAGTGCAGAATAACAAGGTTTAACAAGTCACGATTATAACTTTGCGGGAGAAAGAATCAAACAAACCTTCATGCACTGAGTTAGGCATGGACCCTCGGGCTTAAGGATGTCCTCTGGGTCATCAGTGGGGGTGTCTAGCTGAGCACCCTGAAAATGAAAAAAATAAATAAAATGAATGCATTACAAACTATTCAACTGACCTTTAAGTAGACTACAGAAGCAGAGAAGGCTCACTACAAAGCTTCTTTGAATTTGCTCTTCAAGATTAATTTGAATTCTTGTTATGCAACACAAGGTTGTATAACAAATTTGAGATGTAGTCTGTTTGTGCTACCAAAAATTCTGAATGAATTATTCACTATTTGAGTCATAAAAGTAAAGCTACTGTTTGCAGTGAAGGGGGGGGGGATCTCAGAGCTTCACACGTGTAGTCTTGTGGCCTGAAGAAAGAAACTTCAAAGTTAATTGGTTAAGCAGCAGAGGCACCACATGTAGTACCAGTTGCAGAATTTTCCAGTTAGGACACTTTTTTATGCTCGTCGCTATAAGTCACTTAGTGACTTGGAAAGTTCTATCTGTGATATTGATTCAGAGAAATCTGAAACTGTTTATGTGCTGCACCTAAAAAAAAAAAAAAAAAACTAAGAAAAAAACAGGTGTGTCTGTCTTTGCCTCCTTTCTTCTAAAATCAAAAATCACCTGCTTATTTTTTTCCTTACAATGTGCAGTTGATTGTTCTCTGGCTACCACACCGCAAGATTGCTCATGTCCTCCGGATATGAACAAGAAAAATACATGTACATCCACACCAAAAGAGGGGCAGGTGCTGGCCCGACAACAAGCAAACAACAAAAGGAAAAAATCAATTGCTTGAACACTGCAGAGCTCCGTTTTTTCCTACTGATTGCACCAGGAAATCTATGACGTTTCTACCACACCTGCTCATTTTTAGACAAAAAGTTTCATTATTGAATGTGAAGCTCAAATCAGCAGCATTCATAGAGGCTTTATTTATTATCAAGGTGTGTGAAGACGGGGGAGAGTGGAGCCAGCTGCTGAGGATCTATGTGGACAGGTCTATTGTCTTTTATGAAAAAACAGCCTCTCAAAACACATCATCAGAAATGAGTCTGCAGTCACGTCTGACATTAAGTAAAGAATGGTGACGTTTTCTCGCCTGCAGAGCCTTCGTGTGCAAATTTAAAATTAACTGGATGCACCTCTGTGTAATACATGGTCATTAGACACAAATAATCAGCTCCACAGGTGTTTTAGAAGATCCACCTACACATGCAAGTATGTTCACTTTACAGGCACAGTATAAAAGCTGTCCCAATACAGCAAAATCTTCTACAACGCATACGTGTATGTATCGCTTATGAACAAAGATTTCCTTCATTTACAGTCATTTATTTGTTTTAGTTCCTTACAGACAGACAAGCAATACCTTTGCCTTATTTTTTTTACCTCACCTCATCTTGTAGTTTGAACTCTGTGACGAGTTCGTCACTACAGAGGCTTCTGATAAATTCTCTCTCCACGGAGGGAAAATCATCAAAAGTTGGTGAATAGAAGATGTTTTTGTAGCTGGTGGGAGCTGCAATTTTATTCAGTTCTTCACGATCTGCATTCGAAACTCCAACTGCCAGGACGCTGACCCCTATAGAGACACAATCATAAGATGATAACTGAATATTTTAGTTTAAACATTTAATGAGTGAAAAATCCGTTCATGTGTTTTGAACAGTTTATATTATTACTCACCCAAGGCACGGGCAATTCTGGAGGGCGGCACCACATTGTCTTGGGCCTTGCCATCTGTAAACAAAACCAGAACATGGGGTACATCCTGCCTCATCCCATGAGCCTCCTGGAACAGTTCTTGCAGAACATAGCTGATGCCTTTTCCTGAGGAACAAAAGAACAAAAACAACAAAAAAATAAGTTTTAAGAGGAAGTAATATGACTTTTGGTTAAATTCTGGTAGATTATTTTTGCTAGTTTTCCAGCACTGTAATGAGATTCTTCAGCCATGTTATTATTTGTGGTCTTGGACCATATGAATTCTTGTATCATCTCACTGATTCAACAACTTTTCTTTCTTTTTTTTTTTACACAAAATTCAATTTGCCCATGCACAATAAAAGGTCATCTCATATGACACTAACTACGTCAGCAGTCAGTGTGCAGGCTTTTGGTAACAGAACTGTGTGACACCTGTTAAAAAGGCTACGGTTTTCAATACAGGAAATAGTAAAAGAGGCTCCTGGCCCACTGAAGACAGCTGGCAAACTGAGACAAAGCATGGTGCACATCTGTGTGAGTATCACCAACCGGTTTTGGTGTTGCCCCCTCCATAACGGAGCGCTCGGAGAGCCCTGAGCACAGAGTTTCTGTCTTTGAAGTCATTAAGGCGGAATTCAATGCGAGGCTCATCGCTGTAATGAACCACAGCTATCTGAAAGAAGATTGAGAGAGTGAGAAAATGCACATCATCATAACAGCAATATAAAGGATTTTTAGATCACAGCTGACTGTGATGAAACTTCATTCTTCAAAACGAAGATCATAAGAACTATATATTTGCCTGTGCTTGCCTCCTTGGCTGACAAAAAAATGGCATTATGCCATGCGTCTCCTTTCTGCCAATGTTTGAGTCTGATTCAGCCCATTTGGTGGAGAAGAGCACATTATGTTACTGCTAATGGTCTAAGCCTGCACATGAGACTCACCTTCCGGGCAGCTATTATGACTCAAAAACTGCAATCGAGTCCAATTTGTAATTGTCTAAACAGACTCACAGCCAAAGTGATAAAATTAAACACCTGAAAGTTATATCTTCAGCACAGTACAAAGAAAAGTTTTTACTGAGCAACTAACCTGCGTGCCCTGTGAACCAATTACGGGGAAGTATGTAGCCACTCGAAATATGAAGTCTTTCATCTTCCTAAAGTTGTCAGTGCCAATGCTCGATGACTCATCCACCAAGAACACTATATCCGCTTTGGTCTTACCGCACACTGGACAGAAACAGGACAGAAAACAGTTCTAACTAAAAATACGCTACATATTATTTAGCATGAGGGAAAAAATATAAGAGAATCTCTAAAATACCTGGTTGTGGTGGTGTTTTTTTCTCTGTCACTCTACTCAGTGTGGTTAATCGAAAGGACGTGACTGCTCCTGCCTTGCCCTCAGTGACACTTGGCTGAACGTGGGGCTTCTTGGTTGTTAAGGACTCAGATGGAAGCACAACATCAGGGTGCCAGGTGGTCCTCATGGGTGATTGAGCAGTGGTTGTGTTGATGATAGAGGCAGTCTGGGAGTCCCCAGTGATAGGTGGGGAATGGGGGGGCACTGTAGGTGGCACAGGCTGGACTGTTAACGCTGGGCGAGCTGGTCCCACTGTGATACACAGAACCATAACAAATAAATCAAACGCTTGAAGTCTCTGGAGTCAAACAGAGTCTTTGCTGGAACAACAAATGGGATTGCAAAGGAAGCAATAAAACACTGCTGCAGCATTCTTCAGTTTGGGTTTTCAGCTTGTACCAGTTTTAGGAAAAAGCTACTGTAGGTGTTCACTGAATATCAACAAACAGAACAGCTGACAATAGAAAGCTAAGAAAGATGTATTTATGCATGGGTAGTCAGACAAATAGGTTCAACATTTTAAAGCATTCATGAAGTTTAGAATAAGATGGCCATATGAGAGATGTAGTGCTAAAAAGCTTAACACTTAGCTAAGATAGCATTTCTTTTCTTCAGGAAGCTAATTTGAGCTTTGTCAATTTTATGCTTACAAAAATAAAAAATACACACACAGTATAGTGTGATGTGACTGTAGGTATTATAGCCTGATCAGTGGCTGTATTAAAGTAAACAGAAGGATCTGAAGTGTATCTCTGTCATTCAGTCAAACAACTTGGAGAGAGTCTTACATATTCTCTGATACATGGTGCTTATAGGCCCCTCCACTTCTCCATACAAAGGTCTGATGGTGAAAAGATATGTTCTGCCATACAAGAGATCACTGATCTTATAGTAGGTGAATCCAGGGCCAAGGAATTCTGTTTTTGTGTCAAACACTGAAAAAAACATACAAAGAAAACATGGTGTTGCAAAGTGATCACTTATGACAGTACGGTTTCAAGAAAAAAAAAATAGGAAAATAAATCTTTATACTAAAATGGATTTGAGTGTATAAAAAGGAAAGCAAACAGTATTTTTTAATAACCTGTAAAATAATGTGTCAAATCTACAAGTAACAATGATATATCTGAACATCTGGTGACAAATTACATGTACGGAGACTCTGTAAATTATGACAATATTACTTTAGGAATTTTGTTAATAAGATTTTTCACCTTATTAACAAAAGGGTGCTTATGTTGCCACTTTATTCACAAAAGACATATCATGGTTAAAACACTTTGAAATTATTCCTGGCATGCTGGGATACTTGTGTTTTATTCATGCAAATATTGCCTTTTCAGACCACGACCTGCTAAATAAAAGACTGTTTATGGCAAGTCTCTGTATGCAGTGTAATATAATTTACATAATATGTAATTCATCTCTGGAGCCTAAAAGAAAGTTGCATGAATTATAAGAAGGTGCTTTATCAAGTTGTGGTTGCTTACTGACCTGAGATGTGCCTCCAGGAGAGGCGATATCCTGAGGCACCAGCTACGCGTGTCCAGTTCAGAACAGTACTGTTGTCTGTTGTATTCAAAGCAACAAATCCTTCTACTTTTGGAAGATCCACTGAAACACACAAAATAGCTCTGATGAATAATGACATAAAGAAATAAGTGACATTAGGTGGATTTATTAAATCATACGTCCTAATGAATATAAACTTTAACATTCCCAGTATTAGGTGCATAAAAGTTTTTTTTGCATCCACCACATTAGATTTTAAATCAGGCCATCAATATGTGATTGAGGTGCAAACTTTCAGCTTTGACTCAAGAGGTTTTACAAAAGTTTTGAATGAATTGTTCCTGAACTACAACCATTTTTAAACATAGTGATTTTATGAGGCTCAAAGTAATCGGAGAAGTGTTTCATAGCCTCTGATAAAAGATTTTGAGTTGATTCAAAGTGTTTAACTTGCATTTTGGTAGCTGCTCATTGGAACTTTCAATACGAGGTCCATAGAAGTGGTGATGCAAGTGAAGGACGATGTGTCTACTTGAGAGATAGCAAAAGGTTTAGTGGCCAAATCAGTAATCTGCACTGACGGACTCAGTAACACCATAAGGCCACACAGAACACAACTAATATGGATGAACGCAAGCTTCTTCTTTTGTTTTTGCTCAAACTGCAATCTTTTCAGTTATGAAATACAAAACTGAATGTGGGAAGGGCCATAAATAATGAGCAACTGAAGGTGTCTGTAGTAAAGGCAAGAGGAAGCAAAGCATTTGGTGATATCTATGGAGCATAGGCTTCAGGCATTGACTGCAAAGAATTTTTAGAAGTACTGAAAAACAAACCTTACATTTAAGTTGATGTTGTCCAATTACTTTTAAATCTACTAAATTCTAAGCCACCGTAGTGGCATTTACACATAATCTGTTTAAGGAAACTGGTGAAACATATATTACTGTACATTTCCCTGAAACTCAGACTGTTCCCTACTACCAGGGCCAGGCAGGACTCACAGGTACGTGCTGTGACCAGGACAGCGCTTCCTTCCCTGCTGCCCACCATGGAGGACACCTGGATCTTGTAAGCTGAGCTCTCTCGCAGGTTGCGGATGGTGTAGGAAGCAAAATCAGCCGATACCACGTGGGACTTCTCATCACCCCCTGGTGCACAGAATAATTAAATCCAGCATGAAAGTGTCAAACAACCGTGTTTGCAGTCATTTACGGATGAAACTGTTATACAATGAGCCACAAGAGTCTAAACTGAGGAGTGGTAACTCATTATGCTGCTAGATGCTGTAATTGGAAAATACTGCAAAAATCCAAGACATGCTTAATATTTTTATCGACGTAAGTGAAAATGTTTTTTCTCAGCTTCTCTGATCCAGAGATGTAAATGCGGTTGTAATTCTACTGTATATTATGTTTACTTGTTCATAGCCTGAGGCGTTAGAATACACATTTGGGTGGTTTATTTATGTGGTTTCTTACCAAGAAATGGGATCCAAGAGATTTTGTATCCAGAAGCCCCTGGTGCTTTTTTCCAAGATAGTGTGAAGGAATTTACTCCAATGTCCTCAACCTTCACCTCCCTTACTGGCTGGATTGGATCTGACTCTGACACTGCAGCTAAGCATAACATAACATGACCACAGGAGATGTTAATTCAGGTTTTATACCATAAAGCTGTGACAATTTTTTTTTCATCTCACTGTGTCTCGGGGCCCGAGATCTTATAATATGTGCTTTTAATATCTGTGAAAAAAATGCTGATGTGACTTTACTTACCCCTCCCTATCATTTTACACTGTAATAAACTTAGCACTTGAAGCTCGGAGTAACACTCTGACAGTGACAGTGATAGAATGATAGCAGCCCTGCTGACTTGGACTCAGTGACACATACTACAAGTGACAGCAGCAGGAACTGTGGTTAAAACGGGAAGACCAAAGTACATGACATGTCAGTCAAACACCGACACTTACGAGGGTTTATGTGGCACAGATTGGGGAACTTTGCCGTACCCTTCCCATTTAATTAGGATGGGGGCACAGCTGCACAGAGCCATTTTAGATCTAAAGATGGCTCATGATAAATTCAAAGTCACTGAGACTTCACATATGTTTTGTACCTGTGAGCTGAGATAAGGAGATTTCTGGTCCCTCTGAGTTGCCATACACTGCACAGATGGTGACTGTGTAGGTAGACTGTGGATTCAGGTCTTTGAGACGATGGAAGAGGATGCTACGATCCAGGTACTGGACTTGGGGTTTGCTATTCTCTGCAAGCATCAGACAAAAAAAACAAAAAAACAACACAAATTATCTATCTATCTATCTGTTGTAAAGATAATGTATGGTAAATAGAGGGTCTTTAATTGGGCTGGCATGCTGGCATGCTTTAAGATGGTGTAATGGGAAGGAATAGGTATAAATATATTACCTGTTTTCCAAGAGAGTTTGTACTCGGTGGCTCCAACGATGGGACTCCACGCCACATCTATAGTGGTGCTTGTGTAGGATGTCACCTTGAAGTTTGACACATAACCCAAAGGAGCTGAAAAAATGAAAGAAAAAACATCAAGGGCTGATCTTATAAATACCCTGTTTCATGTAAAAAAGATGAATCACAAATCTTTGGCGTTTTTGATTTCCTCATCGTGACTTTTTTTCTTAAAGCCCATTTTGGAAGTTGCAGAAAGTCTGCTGATCACTAAACGCACTGCTCATTTCAGTGTCAGGACACCAATTCGTTGGGTGTGGTTACACATGTAACAGAGGTCAGTGACGATGTGTGTGGTCATAGTTAATACAAACAAAAAGGTCTGTTTAGCATGTAGTGTTACCCCGAAAATTAGTTGTGCATTGCACCACTGAATTCAATTCTCTCCTCATGAACCATTTACATATCAAAATTTCTTATCAAGGTTTCAAGGTTTGTTTGCATTCATGTTTATAAGGTTTAATGTTTAGTTTTTAATATTTTTCGTCCCAGGCTTTGTTAGCTTGATAGTGAAAGCTTGATATAAGTGCTCCTGGATATCAGTGGAATGATGTGACATCATTATTCGGACTGAGTGTTACGTCACCTGTGTGCATGCACCCACAACAGACAAAACAGAGAACCAATAATGGGAACAGCTCCACAGCTCTACTGCTTAGAGACTGTGCAAGCTGGCATATCTGAGTACCTTCAGTAATACAGAGAAGTTTGAAAAACTATTTAGCTTTCTAGTTTCAGTCATGAAAAAAACCCTTTTAGACTTTAAGAGAAGTGACAGAAGTAGGAACTGTGGTTGAAATGGAGTCATTCCTATGCCCCAAGGGTCCTATGTTCCTGAACTCTAAAAAGCAAATAATGGGAAGCTGGAAAAATGCATATTTTCCAGCTAACTAAGCACCTAATGTGACTTATGGGCTATTGTGGGTACGCGTCAAAAAGTTCTATAGAGTGTTACCCAGTGTTTTTGTATGTGTGTGTCTGCAATAGAATAGTAAAGCAATATTGAACTGAGGGAACATAGCACCATAAGAACATAGATATACTCCTGTTACAATGGCCACATGCCAATCAAACAAAACTAGATCTCTTTCTCTCGCCATTATACTTACTGAATGACTGAGATGACACTGCACAGAGGAACAAGGCAACTAGAGGTCAGATTTCATTGATAACAGCCAGTAAGTATCCTGGGAAGCTGCTCCAGTAAGTGTGGAACACAATTTTTAAAAATAATATTTATTACATCTTTACTACCTTCTAATAAACACTAAAGCTACACCCAAAAGTTTTCTGGAAAAAAAAGTCTACTGAAAAAGATGAAAAAATGGCTTATTCTTACATTTGAATATGATGTCTGGTGAACAAGGTTACTTACAAGTTCTGAAGGTGGCAGCGATGCCAGGTCCAACCGCAGCGCCAAACAGCACGTAAAGAGTCAGGACATACTCCGTATCATGGGCTACATTTTTCAGCTGGTACTGTGTAGTGCTGGTGTTCAGAGCCAATTGCCTGGGACGATCCCGACCAACAAACTCTAGAAATAATATTAACATTACAGTTAGTCTTTTATTCCTCAGTGACTTCAAACTTTCACTTCGTATCAGAGGCAAATATCCTCCTTGTTTCCCTGTATTTCATCGCAAGCTACTGTCATGTTGCTATGGTTAAAGTGTCCATTGAGAAAATAACTGAGTTGAGAATATCTGCAAAAAACAAGGGTAAACAGCGGCAGACAATAGTGACTGAATAGATCACCTGGGGTGGGTCTCCATGCCAATCTGTATCCTGTAGCCCCCGGGACACTGTTCCATGAGACGACTGCAGTACTTGTGCTCACAGCAGATACTTTCAGAGTCTGTACTGAACTACTTTCCACTGACAGAAAGAGAGATAGTGAAAGACAAAGAGGACTGTTATGCATCTTATCTACTGCTTTGGTGCAATTTTATTTTGCAAATTTTTAATTACATGTCTTGATTTTTGCAGTGGTGATAGGCCCCTCAGTGTCTCCAAAGATGGGGTTGATGGTGATGGTGTACTCAGAGCCTGTGTGGAGGCCCTGTATCATGTAGAAGTTAAAATTGTCCCCGAGGTTTATGTTTTCTATGTGGCCTTCTACAAGATATAGAGTGACATTTAAGCAAAGAGATGTATTAAATTAAATGTTTAGCATTTTAGCTGTTTCGCTAGAAAGATACTTAACCACGATACCTGTAGATGCCCATGTCAAACGGTATCCTGTAGCACCTTTAACTGATGCCCATCTTGCTTGAACGGTGTCTGTGGTGGCATTTTGGACCAGAAACTGATGAACTGGCACCAACTTCACTATTAAGCACATCCCACACACACATGCAAAGGTAAATTTAGGTAAATTATACACAATGACATGACAGAGTAGAGAATGGTCTGCTTGCTAATATTTTTTACTAAAACAATACCACCCTGCTGTGGAATTATTGTGGTACTGCACTTTAATATTTGCTCTTAGGTGTTGTTTGAAGAGACATTTAAAGCAGTTAATAAACTGCTTCCAGTGTGCCGGAGCGTGCTCTCTGGCTTTCCTGTTTATGTAAATGAACATAATGATGGGGTTTTGAGCCAAGCTAATAAACTTACATGTCTTCCCCACTACTGAAACTGGTTTACTTGGTCCTTCGGGGTACACAGCATAAATACTGACAGTGTACTTCTTATCCTCCTCCAGACTGTCAATCACATGAGAGGAAATGTCTCTGGGAAGCAGCTGCTCATAAATGAATCCTGGTCTGTTGGCTGGAGAACAATCATAAATGCACAAGAAATAATCCTTTAGAAAAAAACCTCTTTATTAGAACCCATTACAGCTTTCTTTCAACAAACCCCTCTGGAAACAAAGTTAACATCTAGCGTGCTTAAATTAATTGACTACATGTTTTTCCACTGGTGTGCAGTAAAATAAATGAAAACAAATGCACTTATGTCAGCATACATCTCGGGATGAAGATCTTGAATCCATTTAGCTTCCCCTGGGGGGGTGTCCAGCCGAGGCGCAGGGAGAACAGGCCCTCCTCAATAACACGGAAGTTTGAAACTTCGGGCAAAGGCGCTGAAAGACAGACACTTGTTGCTCAGGGAAAGATGACAGCATACAATTAAAAATAGAGACACTAGGTGCACGAGCAGACACTCACTTGTCTTTACTTTGATTGTCGCAGAGTCTCCTATGAGGCCTGGGTACATGGCATAGACGGTGAGGGAATAGTCGGTTTTGGGACTCAGCTCTGTCACCATGGCTGTGCTCACATCTGCCTTCAGATCCATCTGTTACATACACAGACAGCAGAGCAAAAGGATCTGAGTGTGTGTATGTTTGAGTGTGTATGTTGTGTTTCCCTGAGACATAAAGTGGAAGACAGAATTATGTTTAGAAGAAGATGATTGATTAAGAGGAAGAATGATCAAGTCATTCTTGAGATCAGAGCAGAAGATAAACATACCTGGAGGCTCTGCAATGGAACAGAGAGACATTTTTGGAAAGTACGCTTACATAAATATCCTGCTGTTTTGCCTTTATTGCTTCAATTTCATTTATATATCTAACTCTAAAAACCACTGACATCTTTACAGTTTGTTTAGACTTTTGTCCACGATAATTAAATTAGGTTTTATGATGCGCTTTATAACATAATGCAGAATCTAGGCAGAAACAAAGAAGCACTGATATCATTGAGATGACTGCTCATGTTGATTGCATTTGTAAATGTTTCACAGAGTTTGGAGTGCTACACAATGACTGCAGGAGAGATAAATCTCACTGAAATGAGTCCACTACTTAGACTGATCACAGGGGTGAGTTGCTGTTGTCAGCTGTTTTAACTTTTAATATGAGAAGTTCATGTAATCGATGTGTTTTAAAGAGGAATTCCATGGAGAGTGAGGTGATTAATCAGCAGTAAAAAAACCCTGAGATGTCCAGCTAATTCATGAATTAAATGCTTTACTGTCTATGAAAGTCAGTATGATGACATATTGCATGCTCTAGCTCAACAATAATACAACAGTGACCTTATCTATGGACAATTCCTCACCTGTCTCTGCTGCACAGGAAGGAGTTGTCCCTCCGAGCTCAGTGGAGTGACCAGGAGGCGATATCCGGTGACATCACCCGTGGCCTGGCTCCACGTCAGTCTAAGAGAACTGTGGGCCAGTTCGCTAACCTGAAGGTCTCTGGGACCCACCACACGTTCCTCGCCTACGATTAAAAGTAAGTATAGAAAGAGTGATGAGACAGACGGGATGAGGAGCGGAACATGGAGCAGAAAATATGCAAGTTGATGTAAAATATGTCTACAAGATAGATTATGTTAGCAAAGAAGCTGCAGAGTACAGTGAAATAAAAGAATGTTATTATTCATTTTTATTATACCTTTCAAGTGCGAGAGTGTAATACAATTCGTCAATATGAAAATGCAAACAGCTGTCAGTGAGAAGGCAGCTTTTTCAGCATATTACGAAGAACTTACTAGGCTGGGAAGTTTTCACAGGGCGTGGGGGTTCAGAGGCAGTGAGGCACACTCTGCGGGACAGTTTGGGGAGGATGGTGTCCATGGTAGAGAAATCAGTGACCGGCAATAGATGCTCGGCATGTGGCTCCGACACAACCCTCCTAAGCTCTGCCTCATCAACCCCCATGAGGCCTGGTTTTCAGTATAAACAAGAAGATAATGAAATAAAGTGTGGGACACATTATAAACAGCAATAGTACTCGTTATATTCTTATGTTTGCCACAATATATGTTTCATAACCAATTCAAGATGATCAACAAAAAAAATGTGCACATATGACAAATTTTTTTAAAGGTATTTATTTGCAAATTTTTGATTATGTGGAAGTTTACTCGATTGATGCACACTGTGTGGATATTAAATGGTTTTGTTCGTATTTTTTCTTATCTCCACCAGGGGGAGGTGTTGCATTTTGACTGATTCAATATGAAAAGCTCCGATATGTGCCCATATACACATATATTTTACATATAAATAACCACAGTCATTTAATTTCTGGAACAAATCTCAGTTTGCGCAAGTGGGCCCTAAATGCCAAGGCGTGAAATATTTAAGCTTTCCTAATGCACAAAATAAAACCACTGGGAGATTTTTGCATTTTGCAACTCTGAATAAGCTACAGTATGAAATTTGCACATAAACAACATGAATATGCATGTTGATTTCTTACGAGGTCTAAGGCTGCATAGAGCAGGGAGGCGCTGACATAATTAAATTTATGCTTTCCAGGCTGCTCTAGCTCTACAGGTAATATTGGCTTTGCATTAGTGGTCAAGATTCATGTCGAGCTCCCACGCGGTGGTGATGAACGAGAGGAGCAGGTTTTGGTGTCAGTGGTGCAGCCGGGGGTGGGTGGGTTGGGAAGGCACAGAATTGCCTAATGAAAAATGACTGCGATTAGCACACCATTGGCTAATGAGCAGTAATTATTGCATCGCTGCAGGCTGTGAGGAGTAAGTTGTGGGCTTGTGTGCTTATGCCTGTGAGTAGGGGGAAAAGGGCAGGGTACTGTATGTGCAAGTAAACTTGGTGGTAAGCGGTAGTGTGCATTCATAAGGAGGGAGAAAGATGATGCAACACTATCAGAAAGTGTGCCTTTACATACAAAGCACAGAAGCTGGATCGATCTTTACACACACACACCTGTGTATACATACAGAAGCATGAGCGCGCTCAGGTACTCAGAAACAAGACTCCTACACACAAATACCCACACCGAATCCAATGAATTCAAATGTACAGGACATGAATTTCTAACTGCAAACACTGCAGATAAGCGGGCAGAGCTTGGATAAAATCTGAAGGGCTGCTGCAGTGGGGATGTTGAAAGAATTCACAATAGCAACTTCCACACTCACCTACTGCAAAGACAGTAATTCCATTGTCTTCTACTGCTCTGACTGCAGCATTGACCTGGTCGTCCGACTGTCCATTTGTGATCAAAACAGCAATCTGCACAGGACAGAAAATGGCACATGTGAAGAAAAGACAATAATGTGAAGATCTGCTAATTCTTGATAAATGACTGCATAATATAAAGCTAGTAAAATGCATACGGGTCATTTTCAGCTGCTCTCTTTCAACCTCTGTTTTCAACTATTGTTGGCATCACTGGAGGCTTAAATCAAGCCTCCAAACAACATTTGTTTGTGTTAAAAGAGCATCCATGCAAACAGTACCATTCTCATGAAAGCCTCCAAAGCCTTTTGATGCAGTTTAGCACATAATTGAAAACATAATTAAATAAATCAGACCCAAACTCAAAGTGGAATTCAAGGATGCTGGCTTGCAGCTGAGTCTAATAATTTCCCCATTAAGGAAAATTCTCTCAGTTCACTCAAAGTTCACCCCTCAGTCAGTGAGGAAGGGAGGTGGAGAGCATCCACAGGAGAATGTAGTTGCTGCTTTGCATGCTGTACAATTCAATATATCAGCCTAATCCTCAATTCTCCACCTTCCCATATCCAGTGTGCTGTAGCAAGATGATTCACACATGCACACAGAGATAGAGAAATGATTAGAATGCTAACCATCTGCGTTATACTGTGACTACACTACAGTATTAGACTGTCAGGGAAATGTGTCTGATAGAAAAGGAGAGTTGTGGGAAAGAAAGTGTATCTGGATATTTGACAAGGAATTTCTGAGACAAGTTGGTGAATGTGGCATTTTTGTTAGGATCCAAGAAATGCACCAAGCCCAATTTAACACTTGTTTTTTTTAAGGTCATTGGCATAAACCAAGTTGAGTCACCGTGGATGACCATCTGTTGGATGTTTAGCAGTCACGCCTTATCTCCATCTGATAATCGATGAAAATCTGTGGTGGAAAATGTATTTTCTTTATCTTTTATTTTTCCTCCAAAGCACCAGAGAAAGCAAAATAAATACTGTTCCCTGTTGCACCTTTCAAATATTATCAATTTGTATTCTCAGCATATAACACGATGGTTTAATCAGATTCACAGCAGTGTGAGAATGGTAAACCTGTTTATTTGTTTTTTCCACATGTCCTGTGGAGTAGAAATATAGATTCCTGACTAGTCATTTCCTTTCACACAGGGCCGAAACAGACAGTACATGCATGTTTTTGCAGCATGGGTAGTAATCTCAAATCAATAATTTCCCCAAAGCTTGTGAAACAGCATGTTGTCAAAAATTACCAAGATTTAAATTTTTCTTTTTCAGTGTATAACAATCCACCTCGCTGTGTAAAGCAGCGTACCTTCGGGGCAGAATCCCGCCTGATGACGGGGCTGAAAACAGAGTCGACCAGAAACTGGAGTGCTATGCCAGTCCTCCTGGATCCACCTTCATAGGGAAGGTCTTTGATGGCTCTGAGTACCTCCTCAAGGGAACTGTAGTCTGTCAAAGCAATCCGCATCCTGCATGGACATAGAAGCACAAAACTGGATCAGATAGAAACATTTTTCCACATTAGACCACAGAACTTTGACATAAATGCAAAGGACCAAGACTCCTGCAATTGAGTTGATTGTTTTAAAATCCAACTTCCAACTTCCACAGATGCTCAATAGCATTGAGATCTGGGGAATTTGGAGGCCAAGTCAATACCTCAAACTCATTGTTGTGCTCCCCAAACCATTCCTGAGCTACTTTTTTCTGCTGAAAGAGGCCACAGTCACTAGGGAAACCCCTTTCCATAAAAGGGTGTTCACAATCTGCAACAAACCACGTGATGTAAAAGGAAATGTGATTTGTTAGACCGGGACACCTATGGCTCAGTTTCTAATTCTCATGAGCCCAATGATGGTGCTTTCGCCACTGGAGAGGTTTCAAGCATGGACATGCAGCCACCACAAAGGATTGTGTATTCTGTCACCTTTCCATCCGAACCAGCAATAACTCCTTCAGCTATAGTAGCTCATCTGTTGGATCAGAAAACACAGGCTAGCCTTCGCTCCCCTGGTGCATCAGTGATCCTGTTGCTGGTTCACTGGTGTTCCTTCACCAGACCACCTTTGATAGATACCAACCACTACAGACTAAAAATAGCCCAGAAGAGCTGCAGACAACCCAGTTGTCTAGCCACCAACATCTGTTTCTTGACAAACTTGCTCAAATCCATACCCTTGCCCATTTCTCCTTCTTGTAACAAATCAAACACATCAACTTTCGAGGACAAAAGGTTCATGTGCTCCCTAGTATATCCCACTAGATACTGGAGCCATAATGTAGAGATGATCAGTGTTATTTACGTCTCCTGTCAGTGGTCATAGAAAGTGATCATGCAGAAAAGACAGCTGAATCTAATTTATGCCAAGCTGCCACAAAGGTTCATGCGATGTACCAAGCTCAGGACTGACTTCTACCTTGGAACATCCCCAAAGACAGTGACTCCAAAACGGACCCCATCAGCTCCGACCACATTGTCCTGAAAGGAGGAGATGATGGCTGAGATGAAGTCTTTGACTCTGGAAAAGTCTTTATGACCCACGCTCCAGGACTCATCCACCAGAAACACTATGTCGGCCTGAACCACTGTCCTGCATGCTGAGGAAAGAAGAAAAGATTAATTAATATGTGTAAATGGTAGCATATACATGAAGCATGGAAAGACACAATAAGATATATTTTAAGAAGATTCAAGAATTAAAAAGAAATGCACTAATACTAATATCTAGCTATTATTCCATTACCTCGTCAGTAACTTCAAAAAAGGTGAAACTTCTATATTTCTATATACTCTCTATATCCTTTTTGTATTTTTATGGCTCGTGGATTGTGATGGTGAATTGCTAGAGTTAGAGAGATAAGATAAGATAAAACTTTATTAATCCCTCGGGTGGGTTCCTCTGGGAAATTCTGTTCTCCAAATTCTGTTGGAGTTCTCCAAATTCTAATTCTACATAAATACCCAACAGTTCCTATAAGCTATGCTGCCTACAGATTGGTAGAAACTGTCATCAACCACTTAAATGGCAATTTACACCGCGGTTTACTGACACATATCGTTTGGTTACCAGGGTAACATTGGTTCTCTGAAAACCGACAGAGAAAACCAAGTGAGGTTTTAAAGAGAACTCACTTTTTTTTAATTTACTTAACTAATATTGCCCTCATTTGAGCTCATTAACTAAATGTTTTAATCTATTATCTATCACTATCAGTGCTACTTTAATAACTTTTAGTATTATAAATTGCCCAAGCCATATTTGAATATTTTATCCTTTACTTAAAAATGCAATCTATCATTTTCAGCTAATGAATTTGTAGTGTTTGCTGTATTTTTTAATTAGTTATTTTTTTATTTTTTTATTTTTACTTTTTGCTGGTTTCAAGACTTGAATAAGACATTTTATCAAATTGTAATTTCTAATGTTTTTTTCTCCATTACATTTATCTTTAAGGGTTTCCCTCTGAAACCTCAAAAACACTAATTTAGCCTCCTGCTACTTTAGACATCTTTAATTCCTACACTGACCACCAGATAGCAGTCTTGTTCCACCTTGCTGAGGGGATTCCTTTCATTTGCTTCTGTCATGCAGCCAGAGCCTCACACAAATCCTTATGAATTTTTAATGAGACACAAGTGAGCCAAAGAGACTATCAATATTCTGAGCACTCCAGCAATAAAACTTTAGTACAGCGATGAGAAACGCTTAGAATAATAAGGTAAACACACCCAAAATCAGGGTCAGTACCCTTGCCCAAGCAAACAAACGCATTTAAAATAAGAATCTGCTGGGTTTGATGGGATTTAGATGCTTTTTTGAGTGAACCGGTGCACTGAATACGCAAGTGCACCAACACATATTCACATGCACAATCTGCTGTGTCTGCAAACACCTTGTAAGTCAATATTCTGGTATTGCATATGCAATAAACCAAAGTGACAACAGCATTGATTAGGCTAGTGAATAGAAGATAGGCGCAACTGATTGTTCTGTAAGTGATAAGCGATTCTCTGCTGTCTTCTATTTCATTATCAAGCTTTCTCTCCTCTATTATCTCACCCTTCGTCCTTTGGCTGCAATCCCAGGATTCACTGGGGGTGACATATGTCTTCAGCCCATAGCGGCCTAACATTATGTTCCTCCTCACACACCTATACATTTCTGGCTATACACCAAGGAAACAAAATATCACCGGGAATAGCATTTTGGAGGCCTCTCAAGCGCTATTATCTTTGGAAGCTGTAGTATCATATATTCAGCAACAGCAGATCTATTAGCGATGACTTATACTCATTGATGCACTTTCAAGAGATAAACAATGTTCATACTTTCCGGTCCGAGTTGTGCCTCAAAAAACAACTACCTACCCTATAATAAACATGTGGCTTTTCCATTTACTGGATGCATTTCACACTTGAAGGATTTTAGTAAACGCACATAAAATGTTGTGAAGACTGAGCGAAGAAGCAGCTGGAGGTTGGTGTCTGTCAGACAGACACAGACTGGGATGGAAAACAAGATCAATTATCCAGAAGTTCGTCTGTCTAGGCTGGCAGGTGAGATCGACATGCCCAGGATGAGGACACAAAACACGCTGAGGGATTAGGAATGGTTTTCTTGAAGGTTATCTATGTTGATATCTCAAAGGTTGCATACACCTTGGTGTTGGACCACCACTGCTTTCCACATTAGATGTAGCCCAGTGGCTTGAGCATATGCTGCAGAAAATTCTGCCAAGAAAGAAAAAGCCTCAGAAATATTGATGCATTACTCCAATCACCTCTGACAAGATTAAGACATGAGATCATAAGATGTAACCCATCAGAGAGCACACATCAATAAAAATGCAATTAACAATAACATGTATTGTGCTACAAAATAATCGTTAAGAACATAGGTGAGAACAGGAAGTAGTTGCTCAATAAAGTCTATTATAAGCCTAAGGGCCCTTTGCTTTCTAGGGCTATCAGTCATTGTGGCAGCACGGCAGTATTTTTGTCTTGGTCTCCACCAACTACTGAGATTAAAATAGGATTTTTTATATTACATTTTCCCAATGAGCCAGTTGCTAATTTTTTAGTGCATGCTGTTTGGTGTTGGGCAGGTATGCACAGTGAGTTTGTCATAGCTTATTTAATGAGAACAGCTGCTTACTGCTGCAGAAAAGACAGCTGGCAAAAGTGGCTGAAACTGCTTCTCTCAGTAAGTTTGTGGGATGTAAATCACTGAGTTAAAAGAGGCTACAAAGCTCTAATGATGCTGAAAAGTTGTGTTAAAGTTATCTGATTGTTTCTCACAATGAGCAGCTTCCATACATTATTGCTTATTTGTTGCTTGTATGAGATGAGATTATTTAATGACAATTATACAAACCTATTTCTGTAAACCTATGTCCTGTGTTTTATGAAACACAGGACCTTAAGAACAATGTTGGGTTAACAATTAAAACTATAATTAATCAACAGTTGGAGCACCTGCATAGGAAGCACAGCTTTTAATGTATTCTTGGACTATTTATAACCTTCCATAATTCTGCCCAACAACTTTACCAATCACCTTCTGCCAATCACAATCCAAGTGGAGGAAATCTAACTTTTGATTGGCTCGTTGACCTTTTGGTGACATCCAATAGCACCTGAGACTGGAGTACTGTATCTAGGGGGATGGGTTTGACAGCGTAGCTGACAGAGTGCTGTACTGTACATGAGGGCAGCAGATGTTTAAATTCCCTGACTAGACACAGTCTGGAGAGAAACTGTAGCTGGGCTAGTGTCTGCCCCATGTACCAATCCAGGTGTGGAGATTTAATGATGGAGCACTCGCACAGACTCTATTCATTGAGCACCTGCCCTTTCCTTGGCCTGATCATCCAACCTGTCTAATTTATAGATTTGTGCACCAAGCTAACAATCGGACACGTGGCTGTGACTCAGAATAATATGTACCTAACTCTTTTTTAACAAACAGAAAGGAGAAAAATGACTGCAAACATGAGTCACTGAGTTAAATAAATCAATCAAGTAACTGAGGGGGTGGAAAAAGTAAGGAGGAAAGTTGATGTGCTATAGGAGAAGGGATATTTCACGCAAATTAATAAATTCTGTAAGCATGCGGTACACAGGTTTATAAATATCACGACTTACCTTCAGCTTGCGCTGCAACACTTTGATGAGTCAGATAAAGGGACAGTAGAAAGATGCACACAGAAGAGTGACCCATACTCTTCCTCGTCTTCCTCCTTCAGTCACCTTCTCCTCCTCCCCAGTCCCTCTCTTCACAAATGCAGTTCCTAAATTGCACTTCACAGTCATCAATTCCACCTTTTCTTTTCTCCTATCTGAAAAATATGCAAAAGAACAACAAGAAGAAAAAAGTAATTACAGGCCCTCAAAGATAAAAACATAATCAGCTTTTTTTTTTCATTTGTCAAGGAGTTGGAACTCTTCTGCAGAAGTCAAGCTTTTGGTGTTTGCTAAGAGTATTTTTTTTTAATTACAGTAATACGCAAAGAAGAGTTTAACAGCGTAGTTCTGCTGTACTCAAGAGACTTGTAGACATGTAACAATGACTGACTGGCATACTAATCAAATAAATAGGTCCAGGTTAGAAACTTTCATGTCATATTATACATGAACTCGGATGTCTTCTTATACACTTCCATGTCCTTAACAAGTGCATAATGTGTTTGATAATTATTATATGTCCAGGTGCAGGCAGGAGCGTCCCTGTAAACACTTTTATAACAAATTCCACTGACGCCAAGGAAATTAAAGCATCAAAGGGACTTTTATACTGTCCAGTAAGGACCCGTTGATTTAAAGCACTTAGCATTTAATGTTATTATGTTGATAATCTACTGTAGCTGTCTTACAAAGCAGATCCTCCTTTGAACTCAACATACAGGTTGGCGTGAATGTGTAAAACTGTTTATGACATAGTGTTTAGTGATGAAAAAAAGGTATAAAAGTTACAAGAACCTTGAGGATACAACTCAGCGATAAATCATTTGATCACAGCCAAAACAGAGACAGGATAAGTCATAAATGGAGTGCACTGTACATTTCTAATCATAACTACCTCTTTAAGATGTTTGATGGCTTTATGGCTTAAGCTAACATGCCATTACAGTGGCTTTGACATAGTGTGCTGGATAAGTCATATTTGCAGTTAAAATGCAAACATTAGAGTCCTGTTTTTATGGCATATATTCTTAATAATTTCATCAGCAAGTGTGGGCATCTTTATGAAATAAGATGTTTTGGCAGTTTGCTGCTCTGGAGGACTCAGATCTGTATTATTGCCACAAACTTCCCAGGAGTGGAAGTCGTAGCACATTTACCCCAAGGCCAACGGAAAATAACATTCTCAGAAAAAATGCAAAAAACAAAGAGGCTTTGTTAGCATGTTAAATGTTAAAGTTCACAATCCACAGGACCATGTTGACCACAAACACCTCATATTAACTGTGAAGCACGGTGGTGGAGGAGCGAGGATTTGGGCTTGTCACAGAGTTGACCATGACCTCCTCTCTATACCAAAGTATTCTAGACGACAGTGATCTCAATCACAGCAGAAATCTATAACAGAATGGCTGAAAAACAAAGATAATCAAGGTGTTGCAATACCCCTGAAAAAGTCCAAACCTCAACATGGCTGAAATACTGTGGCAGGAGAGCTGTGCATAAACGAATGCCCACAAACCTCGATTAACTGAAGCAACATTGTAAATAATAGTGGACCAAAATTCCTCCACAACAATATGATAGATTTAAAACGTTGTATAGACAACAATTACATTTGTACAAAAGCTGGTTCTACAAGCTACTGAATCATAGTTTTTCACAGGAGCCTATGCAGTCCTGTGAAAACGGGTTTTTTTCACGTGACAGCAGATAGTGAGAAGAAAGATAAATAAATATGGACTGTAGCTACGATGTTAAGATAGAAAATTACCAGAGTTTGGTTTTGGGTGTGTGAAAGGCAAAATGGGTGGAGATGGCCAGTATTTCTAACAGGCACATTCAGATGGATGAGTCTCACCAGTGAAAACACAAGCATTCTTCACAAGAATCTAGATAGAGGGAGAATAATAGTTTTTGCTATGAGAGTAAACAGAGGCCCAGTAATGATCTGGAATAGAGAAAATCCTTCTCTTATCTTTTTGAGTGCAAAAACCACAAGTCTGATTTCCATTTGTATGCTAGCTGATTTATAGGAATATTATCTCTCACAGTGGTGTACACCTGGTTATTTCAGAAATGCTCCTTTCTGTCTCAGTTAGCTGGAGGGATGTGCCTGTGTCTGTATTGTAGGCTGTTTAAGGCAAGTAGGAGAGTACTCTGAAAATATTACTGGAGCTTCTTTACTCTGCCCTTGGTTTTCACTACTTGTGATCGTGGCTCAAAGAGTTGGCAGTTCGTCTTGTAACCGGAAGGTTGCCTGTTCGAGCCCCGGATCGGACAGTCTCGGTCGTTGTGTCTTTGGGGAAGACACTTCACCTACTGCCTACTGGTGTTGGCCAGAGGGGCCGATGGCGCGATATGGCAGCCTCGCTTCTGTCAGTCTGCCCCAGGACAGACTGACAGTAGCTTGCTGTAGCTTGCCTCCACCATTGTGTGAATGAATAGTGGAATTGTAAAGCACTTTGAGGGCCCCGAAAAGCGCTATATAAATCCATAAATCCAATCCATTATTATTATTACATAGAAATTAATTATGCTTTGGGTGAGAATAAATGACTAATGCATTTAAAAACTCCCAGGTACTCCCAATGTCATGAGAATAAGGCAACCTTTTGTAAACATCCCCTCATATTTAATATAAAATTAACAATATATGGATGAGTTTATTCAATAACAACTAACTATTGTACTTGCTTCACCTCTCTAATCTCAACACGATGCATGTATAATTCTGCCAGGAGTGGAACAACCCCAGAAAACATGTTTCATATAGGCCAATTTCATTATTGGACACAGGATGCAATTATTCTGTTTATTTAGCACATAAATAGGAACATATCCTGCCCCAAATAATAGCTTTATTAAGAATAGCGTCTCCTTTATTAATGTCTGCCATCTTTGCATGATGCATCAAACTCATGTATTCTTAGTTCGATAAGATTAACATAAACATATCAAAAATTCAAAAGCTTCTTTTTCCTAGCATTTTGCCTAAAGCTGTCAAACTACTTATAACGCATCTTTTGTTACACTAATGCTTGTTGAGTAAATAGACTCTAAAAGATAAACACAAGGAAAATCGACACATTTCTTTCAGTGTACAACCCCCAAATATTCTTATCATTATGTCCTCATAGATATAGTAAGATCAGAAAGCCTCGAATGACAAAGACCTTGGAGGAAGAAGAGAAATGGGGAGTTAAAGGGCTTGTTAATATTTGCCACTGTTAATGGGCGGCCAACATGATTTTGTCTTGCCTTTTATTACCACTTTTAGCTCCAGCACGGCAGTCCACAACGGACATCTCTGAGGTTGTATCAAGCCAGGATATCTCACTTCTAACATAACTTCTTTCACCCTTTGGTCATTCTCAGACTCAATAGACAGCTTGCTTGTGTGCCCTGCTCTGAGAACATGGGTTAAGTTCAAGAAGACCTTTGACTGCAAAGATTTCTTTCTCCTGAGTCCCGATGCTTCCACAGACCTCTTCATCTTTCCCCAACAAGCTCAGCTTTTCAAGACGGACAAGGAAAACAGATCAGATGTTCAACTAATAATTGCTTTATGTTTTTCAGTTAGCTAACAAAGAAAGAAAAATTTCTTTTCTTTTTGAAAGTTTCTTTCAGAAACAGGCCAGACACTATGTGCAGACATGCCCAAATTAAAACAGTCTGAAAACATAACTCAGTGCATGCATTATCTCCCATCCATCCCCAACTCTCACGCCTACTGCAGTTTCAAATAATTTACAGGAACAAAGTCAAATTGGTCAGCATCTACACAGATACCACCTCAACTTGTGACAAAAGAATATGGACAACCTACTTTATTAAAGGGTTAAATGTAAGACCAGCATCAGAATGTAAGAAGACTAAATCTAGCATTTAATTCTATGCTGGATAAAAGCTTTAAAATGCATGGACTAACACAGAGAACATTGTTTGTGTTATATGTTACATTAGGTTTGTATCCATACACTCTTTATAGTGGATTGTGCACGTACGTCCGTGTCCGTGAGTATTGCATGGGCATGTGCAAGTTCATAAGCATAACATCAAAGAGACCTGCCTTCACTCAACTTCTACACATGAGATGGAAACAGAACACATTTCTTTTACCTTTAAACGTTTACAATCCATCCATCAAGCTAATTCATAAACTTTAATGCTTACCCCATGAGAGCATATTTTACCAATAAAATGTATATAATGATAACATAAAAAATAAACCAATGAATATGAAACAATCTGAATTCCAGAAAATTCCTCAGTGTGATTTGACCATCTGGTCTGACTAAGCCAGAATGGCTGAAGGCTGAATAGTTTACAACCTCTGCAGATGGAAGTGAGAGCTGGCAGGCTTGAACTGTAATATAACACAGCCAAAAAACTACACTCTCCCGCTGGCTGCCCCCTCACATACCAATGCAGATCTGAGATCTGTCTCTGCACGTATCTTCTTATTACTGAAGTGAAGGGAGGACAAACTCACACTGTGTTGTGATGAATGGCAGCCGGTGCAGTGCACCATTATTGAGTGTTCATCATTCATCATCATCATCAACCTCCGGACTTCTAAATAGGTTTGCATCTCTATTTGGAAAAGGTGTGAAAAAGCAGAATGTGAAAGTCTTGTGACAGCTTCGTAATGGTGAAATTCTTTTGTAAGCTTTTTCTTTTCAGTGTATACAGAAGTTTCTAGAAGAAAATATGGAAATATATTCAGAAATGTGCCAACATCTACTTAAACATTCAATCAAATTTTATGAGAATGAAATTAAAGTATTATGTTCTCCTCCAAATATTTTAAGGGCCACCCTAGCAGCTCTGAAATGATTTGAGATAAACATCCTCACACTGATCATGCTAACCGGTGTTGATCAGGTGTGCAGTTTTAAACATTTAGTAAGACTTATTTTTTGAAGACATTAGGTTTTAGGTCAAATTTAATTAGTTGTTGAGATATTTCAACCTAAACCAGTATTGGACCAAAAACACAATTAATGACTACCATAATTTGTCATGCCCAATATCACAGCTTTCAACAACAGTACTACAGGATACAGTGCAGAGCAAAAGTCTTAGGCCATGTTTCATTTCTTTATATTTTGCTATGAAAATGGGAAATGGGTTCAGGGATTAAAACATTTGCACATATACATACACAGCCTGAACTCTCTTCAGGAATATTTCTCCAGTCTTGAAGGACATTCAAAGCTCCTCTTTGGATGCTGGCTGACTTTGACTCCATTCTCTGTTAAGATGATCCCAAACTGTTTACATGACTCAGTCATGGATCGGCCTCCCCATTAGATGTTTTTCTGTGCAGTTATGCTTTTACTGCACTGGCAGTGTGTTTGAGATCTTTGTCGTGCTGTGAATGAATAGCTGAATAGAGATGGTACTGCATGGTGGATCAAAATCTGATGGCACTTTTCTGCATTCATAATTCCACACATTTTGACAAGATCCTAGCACCACTGGCTATAATGCAACCCAAACCATGACAGAGCCTCCACTGTGTTTTACAGATGGCTCTAGACAATCACTGTCGTACCTCTCTTCCTCCCGACATAGTGACACCAAATTGACCCATGAATTTCAAATTTGGATTGATCGTTCTATAAGATCTGCTGCCACAGATTTATAGTCAAGTTATTGTGGCTTTTCTCTCTGTTTACCTTCTTAAAGCCACTGTTCCACAGAGAACATTTCTGATGAGGCTCCAGCAAACATTCGAAGGATCAACTGAGTCAGGTGTTTAGTTTTTGCTGGATTTTTTCCTTTTTCTTAAAGACATTAATTTCAGACTCTCTTCATCTCCTGTGGATTTTTAGACCTTCCACTTCTTCTTTTGTGCCCCACTAACCAGTTTTCTCAAACTTTTTAAGGAGTGACTGCACACCTTGCAACGACACAACAAGTTTTCAACTAATAGCAATTTGGGAATCACCTTGTTGGTGCAAAAATACTAATTTGTGCTCGTCAAACTGTGTTATGACTGGAATTTTTCATAGATCCAAATGAAAGTATTTCTCGTATTTCTCCAATCAAAAGCTCAGCTTAGCTATCAAAAACAGTTGCAGTGGATGCATGGGTATGCACGCTGGGATTACAAACACCTTGCTACCTTCAAGAAGAAAAAAAATGTGCTTTTTCTGTCAGAGGCCTTTAGTTTATCACTGCAGCGAGAGGATTAAATAATGTTTCCAAATGAAGTTTACTGTCCCTGGCCCTTCTACCCCCTCTGTGTTCCCTATCTCTATTTCTCACCCACATCCACTCACACATCACATGCCTGCAAGTCTAACTGCATGTCAGCTATTTCTACATAATGGCATTTTCCACCTCACCACTTCACAGGATGGATTATCCTTGTAGGTGGGAAACTGGTGACAGTGAAATGGCACACACACACATACGCGTAAGGAAGCACACACAGACACACAGAGACACAGCTCAGAACTACATTGTATGATAACAGATGTCTTTGGTGCAACACATCATTTCTATAGCTAATACACACACTCACAAAACCGCAGACTCTCATGCACAGCTCAAAAGCTGCAGTATGGCTACTGTCTTAATATCTCTTTGCATTTGCACTCAGCCAACACAGACATGTCTACGCATGGAGGGAAATCGACAAGCATTCATTTGACATAGTTTCATCTCCTGACAATGTTCTTGCAAACAACCTGGTATGCTCTTATTATTCATGACACACAAGAGTTTACATGACTGTAAAATGCTTTACATCTTCTTTTGTGCTCCTTTTCAACCCAAATGTGTAAAATCTGCAGAAAACCACAGCAGTCATCCAAAAACAGACAACAAAGCATGCAGGACTTTGGCACTGCATGGGGATGTCTGTACATATAAGTGAGTGCTCTTTGACAGAGCTTGATGTCCATTCACAGCAAATAATGTATCTGATGAGCACTGATATCAGACAAGTTAAGCTATTAAAGAAAACTTTTACTGTAAAAAGCAGCAATAATGGCTCAGTATGAAAAGTCCAGACACTTATGGTGCAACAAGGGTATCTGGGCAGTTAAGAATTCAAAAGCACCCTGTAAAGCACCATATTAAAAGGCAGTTAAGCTAATAGCTTTTCAATGGGCCCATGCATTTTCACTTACCAATACACACAAGTTATTATCTTCCAAATCCAGGTGATTTTCTTTTGAGGGTAAAAAGAGGAAAAACACCCCCTAAAAATACATATAAAAAGCTGCATCCGAGTTAGGCAAAAACAATTCTGGATTTTATGTTGTATCCTTGTAGAGGCAGTTATTAGAGACTAAATCGGCATGTGTGTGTATCTATATGTGTGTATCTGAGTGACAGAGGGGGTAGGCGTGTAAGAGTGAATGAATGAAGCAGGTTTTCTTTCCTGGGCTTTGCTCAGGCACAGAAAAGTTTGGGAAGAGGGGTGGGGGTGACGCTGCAGCAACCTGTTGGCTCAGAGGGAGAGAGAGACACGGAGGTAAAGGCATAGATGCATACTGAGAGAGAGGTGGTGGTTTCTGTGGAGCTTTGGCCCTGTTGCATTGTTACTTTTCTAACAGTGCGTGTGTGTAGTACGGAGGCCTCAAGGTGACAGAATAACTGGCAAAGAAAAACGGTGTTAAGTACTTTGAGGTTAACTCTGCAATAACCCACAATCATACTGCAAGTTGAATCTTCCCTCAGTCAGGACTGTGAAAATCAATCAAAAACTGTCTTTATGCCAACAGAACAACTTCTGCATGTCAGTAAAAATAATATTCAGGATTTGACACCAAGTGCTGTGTCTCACATCTATTACTGTGTGTTTCATTTGGCAGCATTTCAGTTTCCCAGAATAAAATATTGATTTGCAAACCATCCAAAGTGTCAACAAAAATCTACCCTGACTTTGCACAATGTTCTATTCATCCTATTATTCATTATGAAACATCAAATAAACAAAACACAACATGATAAAAGTACAGAAAACAGCTAGGGTTAGGTTGTCGAACCATGAGTTCTTGCTCCAAGCTATGTATACTCACACACAGACCCATCATCAGAGGCTATCGAGGTTATTGCTTGTAGAGCATGCAACTCCTCGAAACAGAAGGGGGGGTGAAAAGAGAATAAATCTATCATGTTTTACTTCCCCCCCATCTGGTGTGCGGGTCAATGTGTGTGTGTTTCTGTGTATGCTAAGGGGCAACGGGTCATCTTTATGGACCCCAGGAATGGGGTTACCAATTTCACAGGTTTTAGGCAGCTGGCAGTCTTGACATGCTGTAACTCAACACAAATACTGTACTCTTAAGGCGGAGCTCATTCAGATAACAGTCATGAGAGGTGGTACAATGCATCCATGTAATTTTACTATTAGAAACCGTTCATTATCGCCTGACACAAAGATGCAAAATTATAGTGGCGGCTGAGGTAATTTCTATCTTTTTACATCTATAAAGAGTATATTCATCACCACCCCAAGATTTCCAAATAAATACTTTCGGAATTTGTGTAGAAATAGTGCAAACATGCAAACAATGACTCATCCCATGCAGCTGCAAGATCAAGTGGAAAAGTCTTGGGCTGAAACTTTAAGAAAACACAGAAGAACCAAATAACTGCAGTTCCTTATTTAGCCACTTGAGGCTCCATACTGTGAGTGAGTCTATCTCCCTAAACTCCAGTGTTAAAATGGCCAACGTTAGGGCAACAATATACATGTTTACTGAAGACCACTTCCATTCCACCCTCAGTAAAAACTGTGAGTTAAAAATCACCTTTTAAAAAATATTAAGGCTTAAATGCTTATTTGGATTCTTTGTTTTGGATGACATTTGGATGCTGTTGTCTTGGTTGGTGTTTAGCTGTAATAAGCAACTCTAAAGAGTCAACTGCTTGTGTTTCTATAGAAAGTGTATTTTCTTTTTCAGTTCGTTTTTTGCTAGCCGATATCACAGTTACTATGTTGATGCCCCTTGCTAACTTTACAGCTAAGCTTACGGCTAGCAGAAGTATTAGCTATGGTGTCATAGTCTCTTCTTTTTATGACAATCTGTAAACATCTGGGAACCAAGAAGACAAGTTGAGGAGACGAGGAGTTCTATATCAGACAAGACAAGTCCCATTCTTACAGACGCTCAACACTCCTCTGGGTTCTTTGTTATGATTTTTATTTCATGATGCACAGAATATTTTCAGTTGGTTAAAGGTCATCACCGCAGAGAGGCTAGTTCAGAACTTAGACTCTTTTATTACAAAGTGACGCAGTACAGCTTAGTACCAACTTGCTGAAATACGCAAACCTTCCCTGAAATCAAGGGAAGCGTTTATTCCTCTAAAGCCCGGATATAACTTTCAGCAATGATGGTATTTTTCCAGCTCCACCAGCACTAATGCACCCCCATACCATCAGAGACGCAGGCTTTTTGAACTGAGCGCTGGTAACACACCAGATGGTGTATGTTCTCTTTAGTATGGAGGACACCGTGATGTTTTCCAAATTAAATAACAAAATTTTGATTCATCTGACCACAGTTTTGCTCAGTCCATTTTAAATTAGCTTTGGCAGAAAGGAGATCGTGATATTTCTGGATGATGTTCACATATGGCTTCTTCTTTGTATGATAGAGCTTTAATCTGCATTTGTGGATGGTGTGGTGAACTGAGTTCACAGACAATGATTTCTGGAAGTGTTCTTAAACCCATGCAGTGATTTCCATGACGGAGCTACGCCTGTTTTAATGCAGTGCCGCCTGAGGGCCCAAAGATCACAGCACAGGCTTCCAATATTAATTTTGACCATGTCCATTGAGATTTTTTCCTGATTCTCAGAAACTTTTGATGAAATAATGTACTGTAAATGGCGAGAAATTCAAAGTCTTTGCAATTTTAGGTTGAGGAAATTGTTCCACGATTTGTAGATGCAGCTTTTTGCACATTAGTAAACCTCTGCCCATCTGTACCTCTAACAAACTCTGCTTCTTTAAGATGCTCTTTTTATACCCAATAATGTTACCGACATATTGCTAATTAACCAAATTAGTTGCAAAATGTTCCACCAGCTGTTTCTCTTTAATGCAACTTACCAATGCAGCTTTTTCTTGGCTCATCGCAATTTCTGTGGCGTGTTGCTGCCATTAAATTCAAAATGAACTAATATTTCTCATGGAAGAGTAATAGTGCCTCAGTTGAAACATTTTATATGTTTTCCGTAATCTATCATAGATAAAATATGGGCTTATCAAATCATCGTATTCTGTTTTTATTTACATTTAACGCATCATCCCATTTCTTTTTTTGGAATGGGGGTTGTACATTTAACAATTTAAACCAGTAGCTGCAAAGTTATCCATGAGCAGAATTTCATTCTCTTCTGTAAGAAATATCTACAGAAACAAATTATAAAACCAAGAGTGCCAGCTAAGTGAAATTTTCCTCTCCATATATACTGGTTTCTAAATATCCGTGCATCTTTCTGACAAGTCATCATACAAATCCTTCTTTCTTGCATCTGCTTGGCATTAAACACTACTTTTCTGTATTCTTGAAGAATGCGGCACCAATATGCACCTACCATGCACAGAACAGGATTTAAACAGGGAATCAATCTTCATGAGAAATGATATTCTAGCATAGAGTAAAGGGAGTTATATTCTAGTTTTGCCTGAGGGGTGTCTGAGCTACACGTGCCCTAATGTTGACCCTGAGCACATGGCAAGGAAGTTCAGGAGAGTGCATCAATCAGGACAACTCTTGGTATGTCTCACTGGATATATCCTTGTACATCATGGATTCTGACACTGTAAAATGGGCACCAGCATAAAAACAGGTTTCTACTACTAATGTTAATATTAATTTCACTTTAGTGTTCTAGGAGAACAAATCCTAAAAGCTCGCTACATCAACAACTTACACTGTAAGCTTGCGCAAACATTAAAGACTTTACAGCCTTGATACCTTCCTTAGCACTATTGCATCATGGTTGAATGAGCCCCACTGTCTTTCATCAGCAGGTGCGATTAGAAATAAAAAGCTGTTTTCGACCTGTCGGGGGTATTCAGATAGGGAGCATTAACCAACCTTGTCTCAGCTAATCGCACTCTGTCTGCAAGTGGGCCTAAAAATCCCCCAAGTCACAAGAGGTGCTGGCATGAAAGTAAGCTTTGATTAAATTTACGCTTTAGGCTAACCGGAAAACAATCATGTACAGTGGGAGCGAAAGAATAAAAGAGAGTCAGAGGAAAGCAAAGTAAAGGAACAAAGCCATCAGGAGTTCAGAAGAAAGGCGCGTAGAGTTGGGTGAGTTACGATAAGGTGTGTAGGGGAACTGTGAGGACATATGGAAATAAAAAGTGCGCACACGGGCAGTTAATTAACTTAATGTTAATATGTATGCACATGTCTCTGTAGCTCATTCCTTGGGAGCCACACTACTGACAGCCCACTACAAATATCAATCATGGGTAATCAAAACCGGGGATTTACGGCGGCCTCTTTAAAAACGGGATTAAACTCATGCTTCAATCCTTTCTTCTTTTCTCCAAATGGGAAAAAGATGAAATTAAAAACCACGCAGACATCTTTTGTAACAGTTGTCTTTTCTACAGGCCCTATGAGCTCTGTAACTACTGCGTTAGTACCGAGGCCACTCCCAATATGTGAAATAGAAGTGAACATAATTACCTTTTAATATTCTTTTTGAAAGTGCCTTGGTCATTCACCATTCATGCCTCGTGGCAACTTTTCAAGGAGCTTCTACTTCTAATTTGATAAAATACACATTTAATGCATTTCTGAAATCTTCATTTCTCCACCTCCTTTTCTCGCTCCACCGGCTCCATCACTGAAGTTATGAGAATCAAACATCGTTTTAGCCGCTGGTTGTAAGGCACCCCTTTAATTGTGCAATTTCTCACATAGCGCTTTAATTATGTTCCGCTGAGGGTTTGAGTTGAAATTCAGAACTATTGCTTTATGCAGTGTTCTGTTTAATTGGTGGGTATTTTACAGCAGCGCCATTAGCTTGAGCTCAAAATGAAGGCAAGGTGGGGTTTTTTAAATATATATATCAGAAACTGTGACCAAAACTTTGACCACCTACATTCTACTATATTTTACAATTAAACTTTCAAAACCAGGACATATCGCCTGCTGCTGCAGTGTGAAATGGGCCTCTGAGGCTTGTTTTCCCCATGCTGCTATTTCATTTGGTTCCCTGCCTCCTTTTGTGTGGCATTAATGTAATTATTGATAGGCTGACAGCATGAGACGTGTCAGACAGATTTGATGCTGGTATCAGTTTCTGTTTAATGCTGTCAGCGTTGGCACATTTGTTGGAGGTTCACACCAGGAAGATGGGCAGCCTTTCT